TAGTATAGAACCTTCAGGTGGACTACTTAAATTAGACAATAACTAAAGTTGTACAAGTGGCTAGTTGTACACTCTTTTCATGGTTGTTCCCTGTGGTTATAATACAACCATTAGCTGAATGTACTATCAATAAAATCCTGGGTTGCAACTACTCACCTTAAAATTTTAAAAAAAAATAAAAAAAATCATAATTATTATTAAGTTAAAATAGTATAATGTACCACTTAATTTATTATAATTATAAAAGTATTTAAATCAATAGTTTATTTTTCAAATCATAAAGCCTATAAATCAACAAACATAAACTATAAATGATTAAATATATTGACCTTACATGTATTCAAGTCATTAATTTTAATTAATAAAATACAATAGAATCTATTCTATTCCTAAATACAATATCTTAGATAGTAATCTTAATTTGATAAAACCTATTAGTCTTATTGAATATATTTAAAAAATATATACAAAAATTATTTTTATATATTGGTAATTATAAATAATATAATAAAAAAAAATTTAGTCAGATTATATTATCTCATGCTATTTTGAACATATTTGTTAAATTTTTATTTTTATTTTATTTACAAATAACAATATTATCATTAATAAAAAAGATTTAAAAATTTAATAACTAAAATTTTTTGAGAACATAAGCTTTATTTCAATATATATATTGCATTATTTTTGCTCATTTTAGTAGCAACATGATTGTAAAATAAAAAAGTTTTTTTTATATAAAAAAAAATTTTTTTTTCTAATTTTCAGTTATCACCATCTAGTATAATCATTTCAGGTTCTAATTATATTATGGATTCATTCTAGTATTAAATGAATTAACCTTATACAGGTTTCAACATCACTTGTTTACTAAACTATTTGAATTTTTTCTCAGAAATCCTTTTCACTTGAAATTTGATTATAGAGGTCTCTAAGATAATGATCAACTTCATCCTATAAGTATTCAATCAGGTTTAGATCAACTGATTGGAGAAACCAGTTAAAAAACATTATCTTCTTTTTTGTAAGCCAATATTTGATCAAGATTGCTATATGACAAGATGCTTCATCTTGTTGAAAAACAATTTCACTGACTTCAAATTCATGATTTTCAATCATCTATATCAAATCTTTACAGAGTATTTTTAGATACAGATCAGTATCTATCATATTATTAACCTTACAATAGTTACCCATATTGTGAAAATTAAAGTAACCCAAATCATAATTGATCTATTACCATATTTTATAATAGGCTTAATATAGAACTGATTTAATGGTTCTTCATAATGCTTCCAATAGTACTGCTTACTATCTAATCTAAAAATTTGAAACTGTAATTCATCTGACCAAATTATCTTGGACCAATCTTTAACAGTTTATTTTTATATTTTTTTACAAAAACAAGTCATGTTTTTCAATGACTATCATTCAGATAGAGGTTTTTTTTTTTATTCCTAACACTAAACCATGGTTTTGAAATATTTAGTAAATAATAGATAATGAAATTTTAATAGCTCAATTTATTTTGAAGTGGGTTCTCACTTCAACAGCAGTAGAACAGTAATAAGAGATAATTAAATTTATTATTCTTCTTTTGTTTGGTTCATTCAACAAAGTTGAATGACCAATCCTTCTTAAATCTTCAAGTATATGATTTGCTAATCACTTTTTTCTAATTTGTAAGACCATAAAAAAGTTAACATGATGAACCCAACATACTGCTATTGTAATGTACTCTTTTTGAAAAGAAAGTAATATTTGACTCATTTGACAGAAGTTGTACAGTTTTTTTTTTTGATTTGTAAGCAATTCTAACATTACACAAGATGCAGAATCAACAATGAAACTTACATTTTTATATGTATTTATGTAGCACAACTCACGTGATCTGACCTTTGTCAAAAACAATTAAAAATAATGCAACATGAACTTGTAATAAATTCACAATTATCTTCGCATTGGTAAAATAACAATTATTAAAATTTTGCTATTTAAAAAAGATAGTATTGTGAATAAAATAAAATAAAAATTTAACAAATACGCCCGGAATTGCGTGAGATAATACAATCCGACTAAATTTTTTTTTGTTGCATTATCTATGATCGCCAGTGTATAGTAAAAACTCCCTGCGCATGACAAGCTCAATGCAACTGAGTTTATTGGCTATAATACATGTATTATATTTAGTTCCTCGCGAGTACAAACTATGGTTTAACACAATACAACCTGCATGTAGAATTAGTCGACAAATAATCTGATCACACAAAAACTGGAAATAATGGAACAATATCTCTTTAAAAATAAACACGATATAGAAGATGTATCTTTTATCATTTCAAGAATAAATATTTAATACAATGTAGTAACTAGCACTAAGACTAAAGCTCTAAACTGTAATAGATAAATAATTTTTGATCACATCTAGACAGAGATATTACACATTATACGTATACTGTTTATTTTAAGGATAAACTTGGATTAACTTCCATTCTTTGATATCTTTATCATATGAACCGATTGTATCATCAGATTTAAAGTCAGAATTAGAAGTAGACGCTGATTTACCATTTTTATCTGTAAAGATTGCAATTGAATTGGATATGTTGATAGAGAATTGTTGAGAATTTGATGTTTTGTCATATGTTGTCAAGGTATAATCTTTACCCTCATCATTGCAGGTAATGGCAAGAAAATCAGCTCCCCTGGTTAGGCAACAAATTGCGTATTTACTATCGCTGATTTTCTTTAAAATCCAAGACTGAAGACGATCCAAATCACGCTCTTGACTTTCGATTTTAGATCCTGAACTATCATCAGTTGCCGTCAAAAAATAATTGGGAGAGTTACGTGCTCGAATGAAGAGTGCATTTCCACCAGCCTCTAGAGACATTTTATTGGTATTTCGTCTTTTTTTTTTTTAATAAAAAGATTCCAATTATTCGAACCAGGTTAAGATCCAATTATTCGAAGCGGGCCCTTTAAATATCCCTTTTTCATTATGAAAATATGTGGTTTTCCATGATTTACTAATACACCCTGCATAATCCCCGAAATTTTGATGACAAAAAAAGCTTTCTGAATTTTATCTGCAGAAAGCATATGAGAAAATTCGCTTGATCCGTCTTATCTGCATGTTAGTAAAGGTACCAAACCAATTTATTATGAGAAAATTAACTTTGATTTGGAAGTGGTTCTGTAATTTGACCAATTAATTCTCGGAATTGATCCTCATGTACGTACTCAAAAAGTCTGCAGCACGTAACTCACCTGGAAAAATGCAAAGTGGAAATATTTTTTAGAATGTGGTGAACTTGCTGTTGATGTGAATATTCTGGAGACAAATCCAGTTTTTGCATGAGACAATATCTGCAGTACACGCGGACGATAATCTAATAACTAATATGGAAACTCATTAATGAATACATATTAATCTCAACTTTTAGACAAACCCCAACATTTGATGCCAAATCGTTCCAGATAATTAATCAAGCGGTGATACTCAAAATGGTACGTGAGAAAATCATTGTACATAAGGGAACTTTTGGTCCATTGGTCCATTTAAACCGGTCTTATCAGTTCGTGGTCAATGAAAATTATGAACTGGTTCCGAAAGTTATGGTTAGGGTTAGAAAAGTTAGATTCATCACGGTATTTGTCAACCAAAAAAGGGAGAAAAAGCAAAATAATTTCAATTCATCTGCGTTTTAGTATTACTCGTAATAAATTTTAGATTCTCGAGTTTGTGAGCAATTAAAAAAGATGTTGAAGATTGCAGAACCCGGTTTTTGCATGAGACTATCGATCCAGATTGATAATGTGTAGTTCTATATCTGGGATAATCGTTGCATGATCCATTTGGGTGTGAAATCTATTTCGGATGTACATACCAGGAACGGAGTTTCAAGGAAGTGAAACGAAGGGTATGGTTTACAATGGTCAGACATTCGTTTGATTGGCTGATGTAAATCAATTTCACGGGTAACTTATTTATGCGCTTTAGGAGAATGTAACGTCTTACTAAAAAAAATCGCCGTCAAAGCCATTCTTAGCACTAAACGAACGTTAATATTCATTGTGTAAAAGAATCTGAAAAGAATCTGCCTTCTGACTTAATTTACTTAAAGACAAAAATGCCATTAGCTAGTAGTACTACAGGATCCTGTGTGATTACTATTTGTGAGAAGAAGTCAATCCATTGGAAAATGGTGTCAGAAAATGGTATTACAAAAGGACAGGGCTAATGAAACTTTACCTTCTTATCTCAAATTAGGTAATACAATTTGTTTAGATCGCTACAACAGAATCATAACAAATAACTCAGATAATTTTTAGTAACATGCTTTAATTAATGTTAGACAACTTGAAACTGAAGAACCTGAAGTTGAGAATGTCAATGATCTGAGGTAATCTGAAGTTGAAGAAGCTGATAATACAAAATTTTTGTCTTTTTCTAATCCAATAGGGACAATAACAAAAATTTTATTTAAATTAGAAAATAAAAAAAAAATCAGCAATATATTTGTTAATGAATTTTGAGTAACTATAAAAGAAAAAGATGTAAGGTTAAAATTGTTTTTGATAAGTTAAATGCTTTATCTAATTTATAATCAAAAATAAAAAACACAAAATTAGGTGAAAAAATAGCTTTTATTTGTGTATTAATTTCTTTACAAAATAAAAATTAAATTTGTAAATAATATTAAAAAAGATTTAACATTGTATTAGATTTATCTAATGTTTTTTATACTATTATTGATTTGCTTAAAAATTTAGATATAATAATTATTTCTTATTCAATTATATAGTTTAAGACTAATGCTGTCAAAGAACATGTTAAAAATGGTGATTCTACTTTTAAATATGTAGAAAAGATGATGGTATTAAATATAATAATTATTATAATATTTACATCTTATAGATTCTTAATATATAGTATTGGTTACTGAACTGAACTATTTTTACTGTACCATGACTGGACTAGACTGTTCAGTCCAGTAAAACTATAGTAATTTGGAGCTGAAACTAAATTTGCAAATCTTATATAATTATTAACTAATCAAATTATATAATTTATAATAATAATCTTTTATTATATAAATATTTTATATAATAATTATATTAAATATACTGAATAGACAAAAAGCTTTAATATATTATTAAATACAAGTTTTTAATTATAAAAATTTTATTTACCAATCTACTAACAGACTGTCAAAATAGAATAATTATTAATTTTGGCATAACTAAACCCATATATAGTTAAAAATAAAATAGATCAAAGAGAAATAATAACCTTCTTATTTTAGCATATTTATTATAACTCACTTATCTACAAAATTGCATCTCAACTTAAAGATTATATATTATTTAATTTTTTTTTTTAAATATTAACGGTGAGGCCATGCCTTTAACTTTATTGAAATTCAATTGAAGTTTTTACAAAGAAA